TCCATTCGGACGCAATGAAACTACGTAGCCTACAAACCAAGGTTACCGCATCATTCCTACAACTGAACAAAACAGCGATTGATACGGAAATTGGCAAACGGCCGATGGTATGATGACTTTCACGACGGCTCTACGAATCTACCGAACGGCAGTAAGAGAAAAGTTTCCCCAAGGAAGCAGCAATGCCACTGACAGGGGACGGCACTTGGGCGAGACTAGAGCCAATAACGACACAGGAGCAGGAGCCGATACAAAGGAGGAAGAAACAGGCACCAAGACAAAGAAGAGATCACTCTGAGCAATGGGGACAAGATCGGGTACCATCGGAGTTAAATGAAAGGGCCGCATATTGTGCACGTCAAGGAATGCTGGCAAGGCAAACGAGACAGACTACTACACAAACGCAACTGTCTGAGTTAAGAGCAGAGATAGCGCCACTCAGATCCAACAACGTCGCTGCGGCTGTTGCAACTGAAGGATCATCTACACAGATAGTGCGAGTGACAATTGGGAATCGATTGAATCATTCATTGATAAACCCAAACCAAACACAAAGTTTTGGAATTCCCCTATGGGATAGCCCCTTTGACGAAATGAGACACGTCGGTATTGAATCCAAAATATTATTCAAGTTACTATTCGATTCTAGAACGCCAACCGAACAAGAACTCGCAACCTGCCTTCAGGTTGATATGACCAGCAAATTACCGTGGAACCCAGGCACTGTCCAACTTGGAAAGGTCTCAGTGGCTCACAAAGATCCTGAAGATCACGTAGACGACCCAAGATCCAATGAAGCAGAACTGAGACTGTTGGATCCAATCATGCAAGGAATGAAGAAATGGTGCAAGCGGCAATAGTTGATGGGGAGAGATATTCCTGCAACAATTTGCACGAACAGGGAACATTCGAGGTAACATCGCAAGCCGAGTCTATTTCCACAAAAGTGGTTTCTACAGCTGCCACCATCTCTCAAAAGTGGACGATAAACAAGTTGGACCGACCCTTAAGAAGTTCATAGCAGAATACGGCATACCAGAACATCTCACCATGGACGGAGCGGCAGTCCAAGTAGGACGCAACACAACTTTCATGGAGAGGACCAACAGAGCAGCAATCGATTACCACATTCCCAGGCCATATCGACCAGAAGAAAACCCAGCAGAAGGGGGAATTGTGACACACAATTTTAAAACTGTGCAGTTTTAAAACTGAGTGACGCAGTTTCAAAACTGAGATTATGGTCACAGCAATCTTAAAACTGGCACAAGCCAGCCACGCCCCAACCTTGGTTCCCACTAT